GGCTTAAGCGGGTTGAGACGAAGACCATGGCACCCTCGCGCTCAATTTATGAGCGACGAGGGGCCAGTCGCTATTTTCTTCTAAGTCCCCTAAGGCCACGATCAAAAACCGTTGCCTCTGTCCTTCATATTTCAGAAAACGAAAGAGACGATGAGTTGTCACACGGAGACAGGCCAGTTTGAATTCACGCGCGTTTTGCCCACTATGCATTGATTTTGCTTTTTGATATTTAATTGGTATTATATATTAAATGGAATCACGTAGCTCAGCTGGCAACGCACTATGCATATGACCTCAAAGACCTGGGTTCAAATCCCAGGTCTTGCAAAATTTCATGTTATTTTTCCTTTGGCAATCTCATACAGGTCTCACATGAAGATTCACCATACACGCTATATCCAAGCCACCCACGTGTCCCAGGCAACCAAGTCAAGGGCATGGATTCCAGGAGTGCAATGAATATCAGTCAACGCATGACACATGATCCAGAAAGTCAATGAAATTCCATGCTTATTGGGCCAGGCTTTCCAAATTCATACCTCCTAAATTGGGGACTACACCCCACTCTGGTTTGATTTCTTTTTTATTTCATTTATTTTAATTGTTATGTTTATCTTAATTATTTGTTTTAATTAATTATTTTTAACAAAAATCTAAAAACATTACAAAAATCAGAAAATACAAAAAAATATAATATTTATTTTATAATAATTATTTTCATGAATAAATTAGAATATAAATTGTTTAGTTTAATTAGGTTTTAATTTTAATTAACTCCTTTTTCTTTTAAATCTTAAAAAATACAAAATATCAAAAACATTTAATTCTTTTTTTATTATTTTATTTTTAATGCTCATTGACCTTTAATTATTTGCAAAAGGGTCCAACGCCCGTCGTCTCAATTATTAATTTTGCGCATTTATTTTTAATCGTTTAAATAATTATGTAATTGTCCCTAAGCCATGTAATTTACTTCTCGCACTTTATTTCTTCGCATTATTTATTTTTTCGCTAAATCGGGTCCAGTTTAATTTTGGCGATGTGGACCCGCGCCATTTGTAATAGTTTAGATTTATTTTCCCGCAAATATTAACTGTTAACCAAGCATGAAAGAATGAATGACCATAATAAAATCAAGCGTAGAACACGACAAACATGACAAGACAAATAACTGAAACATGACACACGAATCGCACACACCACCCCTAGGGTACGCCTCACTGTTGCCTTTCGAAAGGTGGTCGTCGAGTAGAGGATGTCTTAGTAAGTCCTCATGATCCGGGAACCTGGCATGAGGGTAGCTTCTAAGGTGTCTTCCCATTGCTCTGGTGATCACCATGTCCCTAAAATCGAATTGACCCGAACACCTCCAACGGTGGTGCTACCTACCTCTCAATGGTGGGATGGCACTACTTTTAAGGACATCTACACAGACGGATTCCTTAGGGTAGGTAGGTTCTCGAGGATACTTGCTCTAATTTCAAACAAATCAAAAGACTTTTTCACATTGACACATTTTCAAAAGCTTTCAAAGCAAACTTTTCAAACACTCTGACGTATGAGTCGATCTGAAATTTTTCAAAGAAACTTTTTAAACCCACAATTGAAAAAGCAAACAAACCATTTTGAAAACACATTGAGCAAGTATCTAAGAGCCCATGGATAACCATGGATAGAAAGGGTGCTAACACCTTCCCTTTCTATAACCTACCTCCCGAACCGAGAACTAATCTCAATAAGGAATTTTTCTGTGCTTTTGTCCTTTCCTATTGGAGAAAATAAAAGACGGTGGCGACTCTTGCTTCCGCGACATTTCGCGAACCAGCGTTAAACAGTCAGTTCCAGATCCACCGATCACACACGCCCTAGCAATATCCTTATACCTCTGTGCTTCCACAAGCTCCTGGTACCTGTCCTGCAACCAAGACATCCAAAGGTGAAGTCCCTTGTTAAAATTAAACTCTACTAGCACGACATCTTCAGTGACTTGCAGATCATCTACAACTTGTAGCACTTACGTTGTCTAGTTAATGTCAGGAACAATAAAAAATCAAATGGCGATGGAGAGATGAAACAACGAGGAGACATCATCCAAAGTTATAATCATCTCCCCAAACAGAAGATGAAAGTAAGATGTATCAGAGTGCCATTACTCAACAAAAGTAGGCAGAAGGGAGGCGTTGAGCATGGTCAGTGAGCAGTCGACGAATTCCATGAGACTAAAATCTAAAATAATATGCCTGACCTGATCAGGCATCAGATTCACTGAGAAGTTCTTCAACTTCAAACCGTGAGATACGACCTTCAACGTCAGAAGTTCCTGTAGAAAACAAAGTTAAAAAAATTATCAGTAAACTTTCAACACATCACTGAATCATAATAAATATTTTGCAATAAAAAATATAACATATATACCTCTCCTTGCAATACTCTGTATGCGACATGGTCCGCATACCCTGTGAGCACATATCGGTCACTAGGTCCTCACAGAGAGGTTTCATCTGTGTGAATAGATGTTGTGTAGAAGCACGAGTTGTGGCGTTTGTTCAGTAAGAGTATCATCATCGACAACAAGAGGTATGTGATACACCTCATCAGCATTAGGAACTTACTCAGCCAACACAAGAACCTCATCAATAACAACCTCATCAACAGCAACCTCCTCAAGAGGCATCTTATCAACAACATGTACAAGTACTTCCATAGCAACCGGTACCTCCACAGGAGCTGGTACCTCCACAACAGCAAAAACTCTAGCAACTCGGCGTTGGGGTGCACAAACTGGCCCTGCGCCTGCTCAGCCATCCTTTTTGGTGAGAATTAGTCGGAGCATTGCCGTCCAACTCATAGCTGGGAAGCCCCTGCCTCATCAGTCCTGACCTGAGCTTCTTCTCTATCGATCAACCTGCCTCCAATGGACACGTCCTTCCCCCTGGTCCTCATTGGAAAAAAAAATGGAAAAACCGCAAAAAAATCAGTGAAAGAAGGTACAATTTTTTTTGAAATTTTCAGAATTTTTCAAAAAAAATTGAACTACCAAAAATTTCAAAATTTCCGGTAACAGATCCTTAAAAAATTTCGTAAATTTTGAAATTTATGGTAAGAAATACTGGAATTTTTGAAATTATTGTTAAATTTTCATGAAAATTATGAAATTTTCGTGAAATTCCCACTTTTCTGGTATTCTACTTACTTTTACTGAAGAATTTCCTATGAATGTGAAATTTTCGATATCGCCTTGGAGTTTTAAAAATTCCAGTTTGTGACTGTGAGAATTTGAAAAGTTGGTGGAAACTTTGAGTATGATTATAATGGTCTTTTCCTTCGTTTTGGGAGGTGTCGGGTACAAGTCAGAGAGTGGTAAGTTAAAGGATCCTTTATTTGCTATGTAACATACTCTCTCATTATAATTACTGTTCACATAGTAGATAGCCTAACTGTCAAACAACCTAAATATTCTGAACACATCCTCCACAAGAAATCCTAGATGAGTTCGATCTTCTAACTCCATCGCCGTTTCAGATGCTCCACTATAAACTTCGTTCATTTTTCCTTGATTTTGACCTTTTCTCGGACTTTGGCTCCTGTTACACATTTTATTACCACACATTCCTCTTTTGCTCTCAATCAACTCAACCACTACCCACTTTACAATATATTCGGATCTCAACCCCTTTCACCTTCATTGCCATGCCAGATTCAGAGCGTTCAAAATGGTTTTGCACTCGAGAGTTTTTTTGTACACCTCTATATGTTGAGTCAAACCCTTGAAAACTTGAAAATACCTTTCGGATGTGCATATCCGAATACATCTCATATTTAGTTTCAGGAGTTTTCAGATATGCATATCTAAAGTATCCTAATATTTTATTTTCAGGGGTTTTCGGATATGCATATCCGAAGTATTTTAATATTCGTATCAATTAGAATTAAGGTGTATCAATTGTATTAATTGATATATTTTATAACAAAATAAAATGTAACTAAATAATCTCGGTGTTTTAGACCTTAAAAAACTCAGTTTTCTGGAAAATCGACTATGAATTAAAATTTTACTGTGTCAATTCATCCGAAAAAAATCAAAGATCAAAATTCCCTATTTTGGGACAAAAAGGACCCCATCATAAATTCCTTGCTTTTTAATTTTATTTGATTTATTTTCAGTTTTTATATTTTTGAAAAAATCTAAAAAAATTTGTAGACACATAATTTAATTTTATTTGATTTTTAGTTATATTTTTAAATTTTTATAACAGTAAAATTTGGAAATGCGTATCCGAAACTATTTTTTTCGTAAAAAAATATGGTTTATTAGGATATGCATATTTGATAATATATTTTTCATAAATTTTTGTAGAATAAGGATCCGTTTGAAGATGCATATCCGAAAATATAAGACATTTTTAAAATTTTATCAAAAACTTAAAAAAAAAAAAAAACATTAAGGTGAAAAAAGAAATTCTCTTTACACTCAATTGAGTGGCGGCGCATTTCCAATTTGTTATGCTGATGATTATATAAGGGAAACAGATTTGGCTAAAAACTCACTAGTCTGAAAATTTGGTCCAGCCAAAGATTTGGCTTACAAACTCATTTTTATTAAATCTTGCAAAATATGTTTGGTCTAAAGTTTGAAACAGATTTGGACACACTCTCATAAAATCGAAGAAGCTAGATCTACATTTGAGGTGACAAAAACATAATAAGTTTGAAAACACTGCATTCAAATTATTATTAAAGCCAAAATTAGATTATATAAGGTGGAAAGCAGAAGATGCTTATCATGTGAATTATCACTTTGGCATGGCCATAAATACATATTATTGTAGTAGGCCTTTACATCAATAACCAAAACTAATAAATAATCTAAATACATGTGTTCCTTACAACTAATAATCAAAACCCAAAAATATTAAACATTAAGGCATCTAAAATTCTGCAGCGTATTCCATCTTCTGTAGTGTCATTGTTGCAATCTACACCCATTTGCTTGACTGTTCTCAATTGTAATTCTCATCTTCCATCAACGACAGTTGCACCACACCATAGTAGTAATAATGCAATAGAGAAAAGGAAATATGTAACACTGACTGGTGTGCATGGAAACAATGAAAGGGAAATCCTAACTTTGTATCTCTTATGAAATCAAGGAGGATGTGTAAATGATGGGCAGATTGTGCTTTCCCCCTTTTCTGCTGCACATTTTCTTAAAAATTAGACAATACAAACCAGATTCGGGTATTTAGATATTAATGTGTATCAAACTATGGTCTACCTTGTTCACACGTTTTCTCCGGAAGCCTGCAGCTTGCTCTTTTTCTTTTGTCTGAAATGCATTTGGTAAAAAATTATCGATATGAAGCTATTCATATATTAATGAATAGTAGCAAAGGTGATATATCTATCCACTTTTGCTTTTGCATATGGTAGAGCCAGTCAGTCAGACACAACAAGTGGAACAAATTACCACCGATAAGTGGTACATAACTAACTTAATAACTACTTACTCCCTCCATTCTCTTTTATAAGAAAATTTTGACTTTTTAGATTCATTAAATAAATGATGTATTTAGACTATATATTGATTAGATACATTAATTATTCAATGAACCTAAAAACTTAAAATTTTCTTATAAATAGGAATGGAGGGAGTATTACATAATAACTTGCACAATAACTGCCATAACTACCACAAATATAACGGCTATTGTAAAAAATATAATATATATTGAATAATAATAAATAGTCTAACAGGTACTAGCCCAGCTCTTAACTTGTTATAGAAGAAAATTTCTTCAATTGCACTGCCCATGAGAAAGAAGTGAATATAGACCGCTAAACATCGAGTGAATTTTTGTTTTAGTCGCTAATTTAATATTGTTGAGTAAAAATATTGCCAGTTATTGTGTGGCAATAAAAGGGAAACTGCAGGCTGTTGTGGATTATCTTGAAAATTATAAAGTGGTTATTAGGAAGGGAGAGACCAAGCTCTTGAATTCTTGGATATAAATCCTGTCTTTTATTCATGTCAAGATTGTGAGTGTTGTCTGTCTGGATATTGTACTGCTTATTCTATCATCAATAACAGTAAGTTATTTCTATTATATTTCTCTATTTGGTACCAGTTTCTATCAGTAACTTGTGTGTCTAATTTATGAAAGATTCCATGCATAAGATCAGATATTTACCGCCAGATGCATATAACACCAAGGAATATTTAATCGAGAAGCAGTTGAACTTGTAATAACGCACCAATTTCGCAGCCATCCAAGGTTGCATTCTCTTGCTGCTGACACTGGCAAATAGATCTATTAAAAGAAACAGAAAAAAGTTACGATACTTATGACAGTTGCCTGCAGCTACAAACTCAAAACCTTTTTCCCATCCAAGAATAATAAAAAAACTACCACTTTCTTACCTCCAAATTTTCGCCAGAAGACATACTATTCTTCCATGTCAAATTAACATTTATGCTATTATCGACTTAATCAGTCAAGATCAATGTATCTGACCATATAAACTTGGCTAAGTTGAATAGAAGCATTTCTAAGTTCTAACAATAGCATGACCTGGCATACTTTGCAAATTGATGATTGAAGTCTTTTAAAAGTGGAAAAATCATCCTTAACGATTGTTAGAATCTACCCAACTATACCCTGCTTGCTTCTTGACATTATTTTCTTCCATCAATACTCTCACTCTCTCAGCATCATCCCACTGCCCTAAATCAGCATATATATTAAATAACAATGCATAAGGAGCAGAACTTTCTGGTTCAAGACTGATCAATGCTTTAGCTGCTACTTGGGCAAATTCTACATTATTATGCACTCTACAAGCCCCTAGAAGCGCACCCCACACAGCCTTATCCGGTTTAATTGGCATGCTATCAATCAAATCCATAGCCTGTTGAAGCTGTCCCTGCCGCCCCAAGATGTCCACAAGGGAGGCAAAGTGTTCAACCCGCGGTTCAATACCATAGTCACTAATCATGGAATTGAATTGCCTCTTTCCTTCTTCAACTAATCCTGCATGCGCGCATGCATTCAAAACTGAAATAAAGGTTATGTAGGTAGGTTGAACTTTAAGCCTCGTCATCAATTCAAAAAGCTCTAAAGCCTGTGCAGCAAAACCGTGAAAAGCATAACCTCCAATCATTGCATTCCATGTTATCACATCTTTATAAAGTTTCATCTCATTAAACACAGCGCGTGCATCACCAATTGTCCCACATCTTGAGTACATGGTAATGAGGGAATTATTTATTGGCAAATCAGGAATAACAGTCTTTGTGATAAACTGATGAATCTGCCTACCAAGGTAAAGATCCACCAACCCAGTAGAGGCACTGAGAACTGACGACAAAGTGTGCCTGTCTGGTCTCTCTCCTTCAAGCTGCATCTGAGAAAATAGCTCAATAGCACCCTTATACTCTTCATTTTTCTCATAACCAGCTATTACAGAGTTCCACGAGATGAGGTTTTTGTGGGGCATCTTCTCAAAGAACTCTTTCGCACGTGTCAAATCACCAATCTGCGCAAACCCGGATATTATTGAATTCCATGAAAGTTCATCAGGGCTCGGCATTAGCGAGAAAAGCTTTGAAGCCTCTTCCATATTAGATATTTGAACATAACCACTGATCATGGTGTTCCAAGAACAAGCATCCCGCTCCATCATCCTATCAAAGAGTTCCCTAGCAGAGACAACATCTCCTGCTTTCATGTAACACATCATCATCGAATTCCACGATACCACATTTCTCCTAAATCTCCCTTGACCCTTATTTCCATCACCTTGATCAGACATCACCCCATCAAAAAGACGCCGTGCCTCATCAACCATTCCTCTCTGGCCATACCCTGCAATCAGGACATTATAAGCATACACCAAATCATCTTTCTCATCACCCTCATTCCCATACTCAATCAAAATCCTAGCAGCCATATTCAACTCACCATTCCTAACAAGTCCAGATATAAGGCCACTAAGTGAAGCCGAGTCACGCTCTTTCATAGTCCTAAAAAAACCAACAGCCGAATCCACCTCCCCATTCAACAAAAACCCAGTTATCATAGCATTGCAAGACACAACATTCCGTTGTGGCATAGAGTTAAAAACCTCAAGAGCTTGATCCATCCTTCCATTCTTAGCATAGCCACTAATGACAGTGTTCCAAGAAACAAAATCCCTTTGAGGCATTTGATCAAACAGCTTCCTTCCCTCTTCAACAAACCTGCTTCCACGGCAAGAAAAGTAACCAGATATAATTAGATTCCAAGACACAATATCCTTGTGGGGCATTTCATCAAACAACTGGCGTGCCTTAGCTATCTCTCTCCGTTGAACGTATCCAGTGATTATGGAGTTCCAAGTAACTGTGTTTCGGTGATCAATGGAATCAAACAATGCCCTCGCGTCGGTTAGTCTACCAGTTCGAATCAAATGAGATATCTTTTTGTTCAATTGGTACAGTAACTGTGTTGGCGTGTCGTTGGTTTTGGTTTGAGAAGCAAAGGCACGAATTCGAGGAGCAATTGTGTTTCTTGTGTTGCTCAGAGTGTTGTACAAAGTTGACATTTTCGAAACAGAAAACGGAGACAGCAATTGTTACATTCGTTTTGGCATTTGTGCTAAAAGCTCTTTTTAATATTCGATTTTTTTCTTGTTAATCGTCAATTTTTTCAATACTTTTTATAACATATTAAAATTAGAATTAGGGGATTAATTAAGCAATATTATATATTAATATTGGTCCGTAGGAAAAAATTTAAAGTATCTTTAGAATTGAAAAATATATCTTTGAACGCACCACAAACACAAGTCAGACTGATTTTGAATCACATTACAACTTTGTGTATATTTTGCTTTCAGAAATATATCTATGTAAGTCTTACAAAAATGTATTTTTGAAGAATACTAAAGCAGAAATAAATAGAAAATCAGAAAGATGTAGTTTGACAAAATAAAACCAGCACTGATGACATAAAGAAGAAAACATTACATAGATAATCGTTAACACAAATCAAGTATTACATTTCAATATCTAGGTGAACGTTCCAACATCTTTATAATATCTTCGATAGATCTGGAAATCGTTGCATCCACCGTAATCAGAACTTTTGTTTCAAAACGGAAAAAGTATTCCACATAGTCCTTAAATTTGCCACTGTTTTCAACTCAAATTTGTTGAACTAAATCTTCCCTTTGTTGTCAATTGACGATGAACAGTACTCGAGCTTCACGATTTTTCGATTGTTAGAGTATGATTGGAGATTTTGCAGTATGTATTTGTGATACGGTGGGAGATCTGACTTGAAGATTTTGCGTTTGATCGCAAATGTTGTAGTTAGCAAGAGTCGCCACTGACTTTTCTTTTATCCAAAGGGAAAGGTTAAAAAAGCACAGGAAAGACCTTTGAGATTATTTCTTGAATTGGGGGGGGGGGGGGGGGGGTAGATTATGAAAAGGGAAGATATTATCATCCTTTTCATCCATGGTTTTCCATGGGATCTTAGTTACTTGCTAGATCACTTGCTTTTATTTGAAATTGTGCTTTTGTGTGGTTTTTTTGAAAGTATTTTGTAAAGAGACCATTGTTTAGGCAAACTTTGTAATGATTCTCGTTCGTAAGAATGTATACAAAGATGTTGATCTTTTGAAAATGTTTCCAAGTTTTGTAGGATGTTTGAAAGTGTAGGTGTTTGTTTTGAAAATAGCAAGGATGTTTTGTTTGGAATTGAGCAAGTAATTAGGATCATTATACCTACTCAAAAGTCTTTCTTGTTCATTTTCTTTTCTTTTCTTTTGACATTTTTATCTTACCATTGATTTGGTAAGTAACCCTATCTTTGGATGTAAACGGGACGGGCGTGGGTCATCGTATAACCATGATTAGCAATGTTGTAAGGTATCTTAGCATTCTCTTTTAGGGACTAAGATCATTTGAAAGGCAACTTAGATAGCGTCATCGAGGAACTATGATCTTGTATTTTGCTTATTTTTGCTAAGATACCTCACATGCGTAATATGACCATTTTGTAAAGGCAACTAAGTGGATTTTACCCTAGGGCTGTTTGTGTGCAAGTGTATTTTTTCATGCTTGATTTTTGTCTTTGATTAGGGTTTTCTAATTCATTGGTTTTAGTCTTTCCATAAAAATCCTAATTACTAGCATTTGTATATAAAGCGATAAATTGCGGAATTTTAAAGTTACTACGCTATTACAATACTTGTGGGAGGGGGGTGTACAAATTATAAATGGGGATTGCAAGAAGATAAACCTAATTAATCTATTACAACCATATTGAATTAGTATAAATGTACAAGAAATTAAATGAATATTGTGATATGGTGGCAGAACCGACTGTTATACTGGTTTGCGTTTTTTGTTTGCAAAATGTCGTGGTAAGCAAGAGTCGCCACCGATTTTATTTCATCAAACTAAGGAAAAGGAAAAAGAACAGAAAAAACCTTTTTCGAGAATATTTCTGAGTACCGGGGGGGGGGGGTATATTATAGAAAGGGAAGGTGTTAGCACCCTTTCTATCTGTGGTTTTCCACGGGCTCTTAGGTACTTGCTCATTTTGAAATTGTTTGAGTGTGTTTGTTTTGAAAAGTTTTTTGTTTAACTTCGTGATAACTCTTGTATCAGTCCTCAAGGATGTGACGAAGTTGTTTTGAAAACTTTTTTGAAAAAGTGTTTGCGAAAAGTTTTGTTTGATTGAGCAAGTACTTAAGAGTTTTCTACCTACTCGAAAAAAGTCTGTTCATTTTCCTTTTGACAACATTATCCCATTATTAAGGAATAGGTGGCACAGTCGTTGGAGTTTTAAGGGACGTTCGAAGGTACAAATGCGATCACAAAAGCAATGTTAGGAGGTGTTAGTAATCATCCTAAAGCCTTAAAGATCTTTTTCCGAGGCAACATCCGAATGAGTCATTTGAGATCTTTTGGGGCTAGAGGACGACTGTGGCACGGTGGGAGAGCTGACTTGAGGTTTTGCGTTTGTGTTTGCAAATGTTGCGGTTAGCAAGAGTCGCCACCGACTTTTCTTTTATCCAAAAGGAAAGGTGAAAAAGCACAGGAAAGACCTTTGAGATGTTTTCTTGAGTTCGGGGGGTTGATTATTAAAAGGGAAGGTATTAGAACCCTTTTCATCCATGGTTTTCCATGGGCTCTTAGTTACTTGCTAGATCACTTGCTTTTGTTGTTTGAAATTGTGTTTGGTGTGGTTTTGAAAGTATTTTGTAAAAGAGGCCATTCGTTTAGGCAATCTTTATAATGATTCTCGTTCGTAAGAATGTATACAAAGATGTTTGTCTTTTTTGAAAATGTTTCAATATTTGTAAAACGTTCGGAAATGTGTGTGTTTGTTTTTGAAAATAGCAAGGATAGTTGTTTGGAAATAGAGAAAGTAACTAGGAGTAATCTACCTACTC